AATAGCTCCAAATTCTCCAGTATAGTTCTGAGTTAAGGCGAGTACTTTAAGCGTTTTCAGTAGTAGTCGTCACAGCTCTAAAAAATCATTAAATAAATGCTCATACAGCCAAACTTTAAGCGACAAGAACAAACAATTGAAGGAACGAACTGCTGCCTCAAAAAGTAAAAAATACACACCCTTTGGTTGTCAGCGGTTTCAATTCTTGAGTAACTTCGACATCATATCTGCGTACTTCCACATCAGGATCTTCAACGGAGCTATGGAAACCAACAGCAAGCTGGTACAACCAACCACCAAGAAGAGCACCAAGAAGTGGAGCCAGAAGTGGGATCCAGAACCAACAGTTCATATTTCTATTTCCGTAGCTGAAACACAGAGGATAGGTAACTTTACTCCGCTTAAATGATACAACTAGTTACTGAACAGCTAGACAGACCTGAAAACTTCACCACCGTATGGAAGCATGCTGAACAAACGTCCTCCAAAGTCACGTGCCGGGTTATCTGGGAAACCGCAGTTAAATGAAAAAGCAGTTCCAATCATGAGGAATGCAAGACCAGCAAGGAGCGGACGGATCCAATTTGGATAAGAGTTGCGCTTGTCGAAGATGTGTGCGAACAAGAAGCAAAAGATTGCAGAGCTGATCAGCTGAAAAACCCCAAGATATTAGTCATCAAGCTCACAGAATCCAAACATGAAGGAATAAACTCTTGTTTAAAATAGTGGTGCCCACCTGATCCAAGAATGCATTTAGACGACCTAAATGAGGATTTGGATATGACGCAAAAATGTCGGCTGTAGCATTGACGCCCTGGACATGACGTTCTGGGCCACCATAGTGCTCCAAAGCATCTAAACATAATGCAGAATGAAAACGAGTGCGAAAGTCATCCTATGTAAAGACTATCTTGTTCGACTGACCAGCCGGAAACTCAAATTTACAAAAAAATTTCACTCTAATGCTCACCATAATACATCAGATAAGTGATAGCACAACCAGCAAAGGCTCCTGCCACTTGTGCAAGGACGTAAAGGACAAATCGTAGCGGCGAGATCTGACGGAAGGACAAAAACATCAATGAGATCGCTGGGTTCAGATGGCCGCCTAAAAGATGAATATACTGGCCGAAAAGCAAAAAAAAAA